CATATAATTTCACTCGTGGCTTTGCCGAATATTGCATGTGGTGTTCACTCAGTGAAATATATTTCGATCAACACTTGCAAATCAAACACATATCCTCTAATTATTATTTTTTGGATGAAAACAAACAAACGGACTGATAGACAAATAAAAAATAAACAGGCAAAATGTTTTACATACCGAAATCTGTATAAATTTTGCATTTTTGTTGTTATGACTAAGCAATAGAAAGAGCAACTTAACACGAGGCTATCGAATTTGTACGAGGAGCAAATATAAATAAACATGTTGCTTGTTTTCACAATATGAAACCCAAGAAAAAACATAACCATTGAAAGAGCTGAATATAATATTTCTATCATTATCCCTTTCTCTACCGTCACAATAAGTAAACCACAGAAAAAATAAGCTAATTCATGGTTATGCTCTAGAGTGCCTAATACCTGCCCTCCAGATCACGCACTGTGCATTTATAATTATCTATACGATTTTACTCCGACATATCTTCAAAACAAGGTCCCAGAACTATGATTCATGATTAATATTTATTTATTTATTTAAGTATGTATTATACTCTCATGTACTCGTGTTCACAAATATTCAACACAAACATAAAAAGCATAACACACATGAACAATAATTCCATATAGAATTATAAAAAAAGACTATGTTAACGAGAAAAAGTTAAAAGTGGGGGACTCCGCAACCAAATTTAACTATATATACATGCATATTTCTCTCCCTTTGTTACATATGTCGTATTTAAAATAGACTAGGAAATTAATGGTCATTACAAGGAAAATAATTTTAAGCGTTACACTCTTAAAGAAGATTCCAAATAAAAAGTGTATCCTGTTTTTTGAATGTTGAGTATTGTCATTAAGAACTGTGATTCCATGTTTGTCGATGTAGCGCGACATATGATACTTTACCGTGCAATATATCGTGGAATATAATGTACTCTCTTGTAACAAATTAAGACCGTCAGATATGCAAGGTTCAATACCGTCACGGATGAAATTCTAACTACTGACATGATTATTAATGTATACCCTAAAGTGGTGTCTTGCATGTAGAAAATGTACCTTACTTAAGGGACACAGAGGGCTAACTTGATCTTATCAGTTCAATATATCGATAACTAAGCCCTTGCCATTGAATTATAAGTTTTTATACACAAAGTGACCCACGGGCAAGGAACCAATTTTGACCTACAGAGCCATTTATAAAAGAGGACCACCCGATGATGTAACATGCATAACATTTCAGTGCAAAGTACTTTCAGAGAAGAAGGTTTTGAGACATTGTTGATATACAAGTCTATAAACACTAAGTGACCCCCAAGGTTGTGCAATCTTTTACCTTAGTGACATGACATATATACATGCAAAGCTTTTGTAGAGGTCTACTTGGCAATGCTGTATGCCAGATTTATCTAAGCTCTATGAAATGATGTTTCAAATATAATTAGCTATAAAGACTTTTGACAGGTTATATGACCCTATACAAGTGATATGTCTTCATAAAATGACCTTTGTTTGTAAGATACCACAAGATTATGCTACATTCCAAAAGAATAAGCTCTAGGCATTGTAGTTTCTGAGAAGTTGATGGGACCTAAATATACATCAGACTGAAACCTCTTTGTACATGACCATCTAAATATCAGTCATGTGAAGTTTGGGGAAAATGGGCATCGCATACGCTCACTTCTTGGTACTTTTTGCTCAGGTTAGCTAAAAAAAAGACATTAAAGATGAAAAAAAGGAAAATTTATTCATTGTATATTATAGATTCTGAAATTAATGTACTTTATTTGGGGCAAGTGCGTTGCATGTAATACCTACAGATTTGTAGAACATCTATAACGTGGAGATAACCAGTGCATAAGTTATGTTTCCAGCTAAGGCCAAGGTAATAATTTTGAAAACGAGTGAAAAATTCTATGTGCTCAAAATGTTGTTTTAGCTCAAAAAAGTGTATGAAATGAATATTTTGATCTGGTCCTCAATTATATAAGAAACTAAAATTTGCTTGGAAAATGTGTGTTTCGAGTTTGAACTTATAAAGGTGTTTATATAAAACGAAGCAATCTTTGCTACATAAAGCGTTTAATCTTATATTAAATTTTAAACAAAATTTCTGATGAAACCATGGTGAATTTTAACTGAAGAGAAACATAAATTCGGTATTCTCGAGCCGTCACATTACGTACTAGTCTGCATAATATGTACTTTTCATACACACATAGTCAAAGACAAAAGGAAAATAATGGCGGAGGAAACGTTCCGTTAACGAGTTAATATCAAAATGTTTATATGTTTAAATTAGATGCTGGAAACCAGACTAATTACTAAGTTAAACTGACGTTATATTCTACTAATTGATCAGACTTTTCTTTTTGTATCTACATAAAGTATAAAAAGTATATTACGTGAGTGTGCTACTAGTATTCCAAATGAGTTCACTTGTTTTTTTTATGATCCCGCATCTTCTAGCAATCTATTCGAGGATTGCAACCAATAGGAATAACACTGCAATTCTTTGATAATTGTTATTTGTTTCGTTTATTTGAACTACTTGCTTTTTGTTTTGTTACAAATGCTGCTGGACGATGGAGATTTGAACAAGTTGTAGGCCTATTGCTGATTGATTTGCTGCCGAGTTTCAGTGTCCCAAAATATTAATAAAATATAAATATTCCGACAGAATGACTCAATGGCAAACAGATGAATTGTTGAAAAAAAATGTATGCGTGTGTCTGTACGATTTATAGCGCCATTGAAACAATTTCAGGATGATTTATTTCTTACTTCAACATTTTTAAAGACTGTTGGACACGGTTGATTGCTCTTGATTGTGTATACATGCCACTCCTGTATATATCCAGGAATTATTAATCAGATAAGTTTTAAAATAAATGAGGCTTTAAGGGGTACGATATGCATTTGATATGAATTTTTCGACTCTGGAAAGAAAAAGGAAGGTTCATTGATTGGAATAACCAATGATAACTCTTATAACTTTACGTCACGTGGTTCAAACGCTGGATGAAGGTTCATTGGTTCTCGTTTTTAAGGAATGAAATAAAAGTTATCTTTATTTAAATGTTGATACATTATTTCATCCATACGCAGTTAATGATTTCAAGCTTTATAAACACTGGTAACATTTTCAAGCAAAACATAACAAAGGCAGTTTGCGTACAATATTTAATACACTAAAATGACTACATAGATTTTTAGAAATATACATGATATAACTACAGTTTGTTTTGTATATATATTCTTAACAAAGTTTATGTAAGCATTGTAACCTGAAAAATTCTTGATGGTATTTGTTATAGCATCAATTTTGTATTGTATAGATATATGCATATATGAAATTAATTTTAATGGTCAGATTTCCGGTGAATGTTTATTGTTGATACCAATGCAAATTTTCCAATTTGATCATTTGAAGAGACGTTTAAAGGCCCATAGACCTTCGAAATGCTATGATTTTTATTTCTGAAAAAACTATTTATTTTAGGATATTTGTTTTACATTTTCAAAATATTTACTAAATGGCTATATAGAAGAACAATCTTTTGATTCCATTGCTCATTGGCAATGTGTACAATTAAAGTGAATATTTGAGTATTTTTTATGGAAGTCATAATACTACTTTGTTCACATTTTACTATATTTCCGGAATATTTCTGTACGTTTAGCACCGACATTAAAAGGCTTTTGTGAAATAAAAATAAAAGCATTTCTAAGGCATTATGGGCCTTTAAAGGATGTCCATAAACGTACAATTTCCTCATACAAAGGAAGAAACAACAGTAAAAGCGTTTTATCCAAAAATATCAAAATATGATTCGACACTGAATAAAATATTAATAATATCTTGACAATACCTTAAACGTAAATAGATAAAGATGCTGATAATAAAAAAATCACTACATGTATATTAAAAATAAGCAATATAATAAATTATGTTACTAAAAATCTGCATTTTGTATTGTAAATTTTTGTGTACCACACATAATCCTTTTCACATTTCAAGAAAGTTTCCAAATTATCTGATATTTTCCTCTTTTAAGCTCTTTCTTTGTCAGCTATCGAATTCTCCTCATTGAATAATAAACAACACTGATACTGTGATGACAACATTTTCCATAATGAGTTTAACAATATTAATAAAATAACAAATATCAATAAAATAACAAATGATTGAATTTTTACAACATCAGTCACACAGTTATTGGAAAAACACCGATTTAAAATTGACATCATCGACAAAATAAAATCATTAAATGAATATATTGTTTTAACAGCGGTAACGTATCCCGTGTTCAACATTATTGATTCTAAAACAAAAAATCCGTGTTTCATATTGTAAATGTTTGTGTACCACACATTATCTTTTATACATTTCGAAATTTTCCAAATTATCGAATATTTTCCTCTATAGAGCTCTTTCATTGTCAGCTAACGAATTCTCCTCTTTGAAGTTACAAACTAACATGCACTGTTTTCACAAGGGGTACATTGATATCAAACGAGTAGGACTCGAACCAATGTTGCCAGGATTTTAATCTTTACCACAATAACTACCACCCCTCCTCTCTGACAAATAATTCATATACAACAACAGATACAACACTAATAAGAAAATGTAAAACAATGATTTGATACAATTGCACCTTCTCGGCTATTTCAAACTTCGGCTAATAACCTCTAAAAATAGTAATAATAGTACAGTACTATCACCATAAACAACATTGATACTGTGATGACAACATTTTACATAAAAAGGTTAATAATAATAATAAAATAACAAATATTAATAAAATAACAAATATTAATAAAAAAAAACAAATATTAATAAAAACAACTAATTGAATTTTTAAAACATCAATCACAACAGTTATTGGAGAACACTGATTTAAAATTGACAACGTCATCGACAAAATAAAAACATTAAATTTAATTTAATATATTTTTTTAACAGCGGTAACGTATCCCATGTTAACGTTAACATTGATTCTTGTACGATTTTATGAATATTGAATAACTAAAATACCATTAAAATTGACAAAATAGCAACCACAATAGCAGAACAAACGTATTTAATTCAAAATCGTGAAAACAACAATGATTTGACACAATCGCAACTTCTCTGCCCTTTCCGTCAAACTTCGGATAAGAACACGATCGAACACAATAGTAAGAATACACGAAACGGATGGGTATGTTGGTCTAACCTACGCTAAGTTAGTAGGAATTAGGAATGCCAAGAGTTGTTGACTTATTTTTCCCCAAAATAAATCGAGTAAAAATCCACATAAATTAAGTAAATTCATAGACATAAAAGTAAGCAGTACATTTTTCATATATTTATTATGATGGTTGTAGAAACCTGTTGATATAAATTTGGGTTTGATTTTAAGTTGGCATTTTTTAATTGATTATACTTGAAAGACACATTTTTAATCATTATTTTACCTAAATATTCTTCTATATATTCCTTTGGATATTAGATACAAAAAATTGTCACATTTTAGCTAAGATTGCGCCCTCTGTCTTTATTACATCTAAAACCACATGGAGGAACTACATTTGTGTAATTTCAATCTGTATTAAGTCCGAGATTATTATAGATAAAAACTGAGTTGTTCCGATTGTAACTTGACACAGAATGAATTTGTTATGACATCATGACGGTTAAATAAACGTTTATGTACATAGATATAGATCTAAAACAACAACAATACGTCACTTTAAATTCAAAATATATATTCAATTGAAAAGTAAAAAAGAAATTTCAATTTCCTATTCACGTCATCCAGTACGAATGAAATGTCTGTACTGTCGACAGTGTAGAAGCAGTATGATGCTCTAACACTTATTTTTGTCTCACTCATATATATAACTTACTACATATGCCTCGTAACAGAGACAACTTCCTTCCATAGAATACCACTCTTTACTTTAAACCCTTTTCACATTTTAAGATAAGCTTTCGCAGAATGTTACCAAATTGGCGAATGTTTTCCTGTAGAGCTCTTTCATCAGCAGCTAACGAGGCTTTGGCATCAATTACAACAATTGGTTTGTTAACCTGTTGACAAGATGTAAAATTGTAACTAATTAAGGCTGATGAAATTGTGCATTAAAGTAAAAAATGTTGAAAGAAAAAGGAAGAGCAAATATATACCGGCAATGGCAATATTATTTCTCTTCATTATAAGCATATTTGCGGAATAATCAATACGCTTCTACAAAAACATATATAAACAGCTTCATAAAAACATTGAAGGTTTCTGTGTAAAAGATTGAAAATAACATCATTTTGACGTAAATAAGATAAACTCTAAGAGATGTTTTAATATCATTAATGACTTTTCTTTATTTAAATTTCTGAACTTTTCAACAATTTGACTTATCACCAAGCAATAATTTCAATAATTCATGTTTTGCCATTTTAAAGCCTATTAATCACGCAATTAACAATGACACTACTTAAATAACTGAGTTTTATTTTATACAATTGGAAAAACTAATGAGTGCTGTAGACTATATCAATGGTTTGCCCGGGGTTGTGCGATTGGATGAATTTTTTTTCAATCAAACGGTACTAAATATTTATTCACAAATAACTTAAAACTAAAATTCTGGTATAATTATATAATACAATAGATCAGCTTACAAAACATAAATCAATATTTGTGTCCTCTATGTTTTATTATCAGTATTTTTGTTTGTTATAGTCAATACCTTATCACAGTGACCTTTTTCTTTTATATGTTTGGATATTTGATTTGCTAATGTTATTGTAAATCATGAAATGTGTGCTATTGTAAAAAATAATGAAATTGAAATTGTTTATAAAATTATGTAAGTACCTTTGTTTTATACACTTGAATATAAATGTTTTCCTCACATATCTGATCTATTGCAATATAATTATCATGCAATAGACGTAGATAACCGGCAAGTTCTTTGCAAAGAGCCGCAACAACATTGACTGACAAGCAACTGTCATCATCAAGAATTTCTTGAATACTACGTTTCCTCCCAACTGGTACAAGTTCACTTATCATCCGCACAGATCTGCTCAATTGCTGGTATTCCAAAATGGCTTTACCAATTTCTAAAAAAAAGTACACGTTCAATTGAACTATAAATTCTTGTAATTTATTTATGCCGGAAATAGCTGTAAATTATA